TGCAGAATGTGAGTTGATGTGAATACAGCCTATAAATATCATTCACAGATAAACATACCTAACTCATTGAATATTTGTCACTGTAAAACATCGTCGCTAAAACATAACCGCCATCTGTTGAGTACACTGTGGTGGGTTGTACGTTGAACAGATGGCTGTAGTGTGTAAACGTCAAACGCAAGGGAATTGACTATGCTTGCCACAGGTGGCGGTACTACCAACTACGATACTTTTAAATTGACCGTTAAATGCTTGTCAATGAACAACTTGCGAGTTATTTGTCTGTTTGTCTGTGTATCATTCATATGTTTGAAAAATATGTTTAATATAATTCCTAGTGTTGATTATTTTGGTTATAAATTAATTGAAAATAGAGCCGCCTACTTTTGTTTTGAAGTTTAAATAGTCGATACCAGTGCTGATAGAAATCATTCCTTCTACACTCAACTTAGCTGAAAACGAAGACAACCTTAACAGATAGACCAACTACTTGCATGTATCTGAATTTTTACATAACAACATTCTTTTGATCAAGGCAAACTCTGAGTACCGTAGTCAACAAAAGAGATGCCAGATTTTTTTCTATGCAATTCCGTAGACTTATTCAAATCTACGGATTTCTACGGATTTTTTTTAGTTTCAAGGTGATATTTGACGTAAAATGATAAATCGATGAAAGGATTTTTGAAAAACTACTAGGGACAGCCCTCTGGGGTTGTACGCAATGGTGACGTCGTGCTCTTATATAATAAATGTTATTTGTTAACTGTAGCAGGACTTGTGTTTTGTGTAGGAATAGGAATTTGAGCAGGATTCTCTCTGTTTATTCTCTTTAGTATGACTATGATTGCCATGAAGCTTTTGATATGAATTTTAGTTGGGACATGTTCAGAAATTTAACTCTTTTTTCAAAAATCTTGGTGACCCTGAAAAGGGCCGATGGTAGTACAGGCATGAATACCATGCTACTGTTGCACCTGTAGTTTTTGGCATACTTTCACTGATTGATTCCCGGGGATCCTTGTTCAGCCATAGCAAGATGTGCGTGTGAGGACTTCCACGGTGCTGAAATTCAATCGTGTCAATCAGCTTGTTGAAGTACACACAGCACGTGACTGGATCATGATTGACCATAGTTGCTCTTTGTAGTACAGTCAAGTTGTTGTTGCTAATACTGTACTGAATTCGGTATTGATTTGAGGAAGGATAGATTTCGCTCAATGCACTGCTCCATGAATAAGGTGGTCCTTAAGGTTGATTCGTGTAATGTTTGCGGTCCCCGTGCACGTAAAAGTGCATTGCAAGCCTTAGGAAACTCTAAGGCGAAGAACTTTCATTGTCATATATAACAAATGTTGTGGTTTGGCCACACGCTCGTCTTGACGACGAGTTTCACTGGATGCCATCATGAAATATGTTAAAGAGGCTGAATTTATAAAGAGACGACATCTTATTCATTTGACAGGTCTTCTGCTCGATTGGAATGACTTTTCCTATGACTTGACAGATAATCGATTGTTCCAATTTTGACATGTCTCTTTATAATTCAGACTCTTTAAAATATGTAACCCGAACCCCTGGCTTGAATTTCCGTAGATGGCCAAAACATATGGCAGGAAAAGCTATCTCTTCGCCGAGCTCGTTATATATTAATGACAGAGGAACCCTGTTTTGCGCGGGAGCGAGCGGTCTCCAGGTATTTGTTCTCATTCCAAAGGAGCTTTTCCTGTTGCCCAATCAGCAATTCTGTCTCATTATCCACGACAATGGTCTCCAGCTCAATTTGAGGATCCACTACTGGGGTTTCAAGATCATCTATCAATTCTGATCCCGCAGCGGTACAGTACACACTTAGAAAAAATCACCGACTTCGGTAATTCATTTACCGAATTCTCAACAGCTGAACGGTCGGTAATGTTTTCGGTAATGGAGAACATTACCGAAAAATCTGTAAACTGGATCAGCAAAATTAGCTGTCAAATTTACCGAACGATCGGTAACGTTTACCGATGTGCATTGCTTGATTTGTAGTCGACTTTACCGGAGAACTGTAATTTTGAGGACGATATGCAAATCGAAAATTACCGAGAGATCTGTAATTTTTTAAAAGGTCACCGACTCAACTGTAATCTAGGTGGCGGTCACTGCAACCCATACAAAAATTTGGCTGCAGTCGTGATCAATAAGTTAGTGTTACAAATTGCACCACCAATGAACAAAACCGTTGGCGACGATCTAAAAACAGCATTTGGAATATTCTTCCAATGCTTCCTTGTTTCCAGTGTAGCGCCGAATCTTTCCGACAAAAACTTAAGATTCGGCGCTACACTGAAAACAAGGAAGCATTTGAAGAAGATTCCAAATGCTGTTTTCAGATCGTCGCCAACGGGAATGGAACTTGGACCGACAGAAAAAACAAGCAAGAACATCGGCCATCTGTAATCGGGATTTATTTAGATAACGGAAATTAATTATTTACGGAAAATATCTACGATTCGCTCATCTTGTTGTTGCATAACAGCCTATATAATTTCACCTTTTTTATTTTTGACAAGCACGAACGCTTTTAATGTCGATCGAAAATAACAATATGGTGGATTTGACGTTTACCTAGACCGTTACCGAACTCAGTAATGGAATGCTTTGTTTACCGAAACTCCAGTAAAATATTTCGCCGAAGTCGGTGATGAAGCTGATTTACAGACCTGCTGGTAAAAATGTTTACCGTTTTCGGTAAATTAAAATAAAATTACCGAAATTCGGTCATTTCATTTACAGTTTTCAGCAATAAAGCGAGAAAATAACGAAACATCTGTAATTTTTATCATTACCGATCTAAGGCGGTATTTTTTTTACCGAAGTCAGGGTCTCTGTTTAAGTGTGTAGTGTCGTAATCTTATAAGAAAGCCACGATTTAACCGAAGTTTCCTTTATGAAGCCGGACAAGTACGACGACTGCTTTTTGATGAACACGTTCAAGGCCTGATCATCATCGAGCTGACGGGGAAGAGAACGTCGTCTCTCTTACACAACGCAAACGGTAGAACAACATTCGAGCAAAAAGAAAATTATCAAATAATCATCATTTGACAAATGTGATTTCGTTCTAATTCCTCAATTTTGTGTAAATTAAACCATTTCTGATCAGAAATGTTATTACTAAGCCATCGATGCTTGCTATTTTCAGAATTCACACAAGCACAACATCAGCAGCTCTTATTATGAGAAAAACTAAAATACATACATTCGTGACGGCCTTCGGCAACAGTGTCGTATGACAGAGCCTGTCGTTTAACATTTTAGTTTGGTAAATTGGAGGCGAACCAGCCCCAGGCTGAAAGCCTCCCTAATAAAGATAAATCAATCAATCAATTTTAGTTTGGTACTGTAATTTGAAAGCTTTTTTTGCAAGTGTCCGAAGTAAAGGCAGTCGATTATCATAGAAAATGTGTCGACTACGGTGACCGCTTACAATACTGGTCTCGACACGACTTTTATTCGCCTTCACACGGCACCGTCGAAAATTTTTCCCTTCAAGCAAAGATTGACAGTATATTATGAGAACTTTCGGCGGAGTGAAGAGATAGTACGAAGGCCGCCATGTTTCACGCACAGTCTGACGTTTGCTTACGTGATATTTCATATGAGGGAAGAGCTACAGAGTCGCAGAAAACGGTCGACAAGTTGCAGGGGTGTATTTTACTTTACGCTTCTTTCCCTTCAGAATCAGATTATACTCTAGATTGTAAAATTCGATTCTGAAGGGAGACGTACACTGAAGTAAAAAATCCGTAGAAACTGTACCGAATTCCGTAGATTTTGCCTACGGATCCGTATTTCCGCAAAAAATTGTAAAATCCGTAGATCTACGGAGATTTCCGTAAATCTGGCATATCTGGCAACATTTTTTTTCTTCATAGGTGACTGGATGTTCATTATTGCCTCCGTTGTTGTCAATATTAATATTCGCCTCCATCTTGGTGGGAATGATTTTGAGTATCAAATGCAAAATTATTATAGGATTTGAAATTTCATTATAGAGGTACAAAAGAATCATGCTTGGAAAATTCGTTCAGTATCAGAGCTTAGACGCATCAGTAGGAATTAAAAAGTGCTGGCACTAAAACGTGCGTGCCAGCTGTGGTTAATTTTCGTGACAAATGTTGCTGGTAATTAAGGTAAAGGGAGAGAGATTTGAATTAAAGTATGCTCAGTAGAAGGTTATATATGTAGTATGTCTGGAATATGTGACCATTTTTTAAAGTGACAGTTATTCCGAATCACCCTGTAAGTTTGGGGGGTGTTCGAACAATTTCAAATGTGATTTCATTGTAAACTGTACTATAATAGAACGTTTTATTTTTTTATTTGTAACACTGTGTAATTGCAAGGTGATATTCTTTTATCCGGTACTGTATATACATATTTAATTTTGAATAGGCATTTCAAATCCGTAAAGTAAAACTTATTATAAATAAAATTAAATCAATTGCAATGCCTGTATTACCGGGAACGAAGTTTCTCTTAAAAATGGATCGTTTATGTTCACAGTTCACGCTACGGGATTTGTAACTCATACATACATTTTTTATGGAAGACAATTATTTAGTAATTTTACGATGTTTCAAAATAAAATATCATGAATCATAGCAAAAATTAAATTCAACTTAAGACAGCTGATTTTCGAACACATTACATCATCGTATTACATCATTTGCACGACGGCAATGGAAGTCTCCAGCAAAAAGTGCCATCAGAAGTTTATCCAAGAACCGTTCCGAAATTTTCACATCACATTCTTGTCTTGATTCAATATTTTTTCAGGCGTCTCAAAAAAATCAAACGGAAAAAAGAAGAAAAATTAAAACTTCAAAGCATAACAAAAATCCCACTTGACGAACAATGCTTTGTAAAGTCGCCCCCGGCACGGATGGTAGGCAGCAGGTAGGCACTCGAGGCCTATATCTACGACGATGATGGTTGGTTCGGTATATACTTACTGATGATGCTGAGATTGTATCGAAAGCTCTGCGTTTGACTGGTACGAAAGTCAACTCGACAGCGGTAGACACCCTCGTCATGTCGTCGAATATCCTAAGCAAATATTTGCGGAGAGTGAAAAAAACAGCGGCAGCATGAAACGAGACCGGAAGAGAGACACACACAAAAAATGATTCCTTTTTCAGTGAAAACAACCGAAACAAAAACGAAAAAAAAAAAAAATCGTCATGATCAACGTTTTGCAGGTTCTCACCAGTTTCGGGGAGGGTACATGGGAATTGGGAAAATTTTGCTCTTTTTGCTCTGGAGGTTGTTCGAGGGGATGTTTTTTCTCTTTTGGCTGATACTGTCAGCACATTCGGGACACGAAAAAGCTACTCCCAAGAGTGAGGATTTTTGCAGGACAAATTGTGTGTCAACAGCGGATTTTGGAGGAGACTTGTCTCAAGGGACAGCCGAACAGGAGATGCCAAAAAAAAAACGGAAGTGCTGGGCTACTAGACACAGGAAGACAGGAAGGTAGACAAACAATGGATGTATGGTTGCTGCAGCAGCCAGTGGGTGAGTGTTTATGTTTTGTACCTGGATGTCCAGCGTGGCCGGGTCCGTGTCGGTGTTGAAGTGCGCCCGTGTTCCAAAGCTTTCCGGCGCTGACCAGTGGTTTGCCTGTTGCAAGGGCTTCCCCCGAACGTCGAAGCTGAAAGACAAAGAGGAAAAGTGAGAAATGGGATTAGAAGAATTTTACGAGTGACAGTGCTTTAACGGTCAGAAGGCGCAGTTTGGTTTCATCTGATCGGCGGGTATTCTTGAATCCACATCGTATCGTACGGTGTTACAGTATTTCAGAATAGGTCTTACGTATGTATTATATAATAATGTAATAGTGTATGGGTCTTGAAAACTATAGCTGAACGTCTTAATAAATCCTAACATACTATTTGCTTTCGTTATGATTATATTGAAGGCTGACTAAAAGTAAATGGGTACGGAAAAATACCTGTAATTCGTGATTCAATAAGTTTAAAAAGTCCATTAATGGTTGCTTTACAGTACTTTTATTAAAACATTAAAGTTACAGCATTAGAAGGATACATGTCTCCAGTTGTGTATGTGTATGTATGTATATACAATCCAACTTCCACTGTCAGGCAGTGTTTTTATAGAAGAAAAATGTTTGCAATATACGATATAATTTATTATTATCTTATACTGATCCCATTGCAAACAATTTTAGCCCGGAAGCTGAAAGGTGATAGCTCTGTTGAGATTCAGTAACCCATTTCAGAATGTCTGGTCACTCGCGTCCATTCCGAGGTTACTTTCACTTACAACAAGCTTCGCATACAAGTAGTACCGATATAAAATGTACATTGGTATTGCGTGTACACTTCCATCATCAAAGCAAATCCTGCTTTGTAGATGCCACGTATTTAGTAGGATGCATTTCATATTTTTATATCTAGTTGTAATCAGCTTATGTATTGTGTCCTTGCTGCTGAATCTTTGTCATCTCGAATCTCGTTGAGTCCTGTTGAATAATAGGCATCTGTAGTGGAATACTCTTCTCTATCTTTCTCTATCACTTTTCGATGTTTTTCGTATGTCTTCTTGAATATTGTAACCGTTATCAATTGAATAATGACAATTCCAGCACTATCTATCCCGGTTATTGATCGGCCCAAGCAACACAGAAAACATCTCAATTCTTTTCTTTTTCTTTTTAAGTTGCCCAGAAATCCCTTAAATGGTACAGGGAATACATCTTGATACGACAAAGTTTCAACTTTGTTGCTTCATTTACTTTAGGTCACAATAATGAAACTCAACTGTTTCAATGTACTGCTTGGATGACCTGTCAAATCATGCCTCAAATGGGAGGAGCAAACATGTTACACTCAAATTGGTATGAAGTTATATGCTACGTGATATTGTATGAAACACTTGAGCAACAAATCTAACTTGTGTTGTGTTTGTTGAATGGGAGTTCCATAAAACATTATGTTTCTTAAAATTTTGGTGCAACAGAGTGTGAACTATATGTTTTTTGTACCTATTGAGCAACTGTTTCGAAATGTTACTAAAAAGTTGACGAACCAAGATGTGTTGAAGAACCCATTTGCAATCTTGTTCCAATTAAGCGTATGAATCTATAAGTTTTCAAACTTCGTTTTGCAACCAACTGAATCAAGTTGTCACTGTAAAGGATTGTTGTAACCATCTAGTATCTACCATGGCTCAAATATGTCTTGTCACTTTGATGTTGTAAAATATTTTTGGACAACATTGGCAAAAGCGGAGAAATCGTAATGCATGTGCTAACATCTGCATAAGAAATGGAAGACCACGACGAGGACGATAGGATTACGGATGGCGGGGGACGATGGTGACTAAAGACGATACCAACAGCGGCTGGCGTGGCCGTAGTCTCTCAACCAAGCGGGTGTTCCAAAGGGCTAAATAGAACGGTGAGAAGCCTGAGAGACGATAGATTGGTTGTTGCATGAGCTGGGGGCAGCAAATATATTGATACCGCCGAACGGAGATGTGGCCGTTAAGGATCCGTTAGAGACGGAGCTCGTATTTGCCGGAACTGCTGGCGAACTGGAAACAGCACCAAATAGCGGGTGGATCGCCAGAACTAGTGGCTTATAATGCTGAAACCTGATGACTGCTGGCGGAGGAGCTGCACCGATGCTGCTACCACTCGATGTCACATTGCTACTGACAAGTGACGTTTAAAGCACGCACATACTCAACAAATTCTATGATTGTTCAAACTACGCATTTGCTACTTAATTTCAACATAACTGGAACATGGATACCATCGATAATACGTAATGGTGCAGTTATGTTGACAAATCGTTGCGGTGTTGTTGCAGTTCAATATGAATCATTAATTTTAATATCCACTCATCTGCAACGTAAAAAATACTTGTTGTAAACTTTTCATGATGTCTTGAAAAATAGCTACATTATTGTAACATACTATTTAACATGTTTGCAACAGTTCAGTGAGATGGATTATATCTGGATGAACCGTACACTGCCGGCCGAAATTATGTAGCTATAATGGAAAATGTTCACAAATATTCCAAACATTAAAAAATTAAATCAATTCAGAATTTTACACTTGTTAGGTTATGAGAGGGCGTTTTGATTTGTAATCGATGCAGGACATTAAAGAACTATATTAAGTTCTCCGTTTTGGTTGACTCTATTTTCTTAAGGTGTAACATTGTTCAGGTGAAGGCTTTGATTTGTATTTCGTCAAAATTTCGATAGAAATCTTTGCTTTATAATTATAAGCTATTTTTTAAAAGATCAGTGAATGATGACTAGATGATTATTAAAAGAAGTCTAACGGTTTGCGTAATCGACGTAGTGAAATCGCTTTAATTCTCGCCCAATAAACTGGGAGTTTAAATCCTTAGGGTTTGAAGTATGAACTCTAAGCGTTGAAATATCGATCCCATTTACTAATTATTTGATAGTAATATTATGATCGACCAAGGGGTAAAAAAGCAAGGATTTATGTATTGACCAGAAATTGATGATACGCAGCAGCTAGCTGGTATATTAATTTGGAGTTGAGTTTTTGTTTCTTGTCTCCGGGAGTCATACGAGTCCCACAACTGATCTCCAACGACCGTCTTTGGAATCTGTAACCGCTCAAGTTTTTTCATTTTTTTTTTTAGAGAATATTGGCGGGTAACTACATTTTTTTTCAGACATCATGGCACAAAGATGGACTCAAAGCCGCAGAAAATCAACCTTTCGGTTTTGTTGGGAGTCCAACTTTTTTCGACGAGATTGAAAGCGTATTGTTACATGCTAATTTTCTATGAAATCTTTGGAAAAAATGATTTTCTTGGATTATTTATATCTTTTTCAACATTTGGGATCATCCACAAATTTAGTAATGGAATGAAGGGAGAGGAGGCTTGACATTTTCATTCATAAAATTTAGTAGGCGTAAAACCTATTTTTTCTTAAGCGATTCAATGCCAAAACACCTCCAAATACATTAAATGCGCAAATGCATGTAAAAAATTACCCAAATCGATATCTAACGATCTTCTGAACAAGACTTTCGGGGGAAGGGTTGCGAACTGCAAATTTTACAGAGTCTTACAAGGACGGGAGGGGGATTTAATGATCATTCAAAAACCCTTACATAATTTGTGGATGGTTACCTATTAGAAAAATCAAAACGCATCGAAAAAAAAATCAAACTGGTAAACTTTCGTTTGATTTTCAAACCCCCAAATCAAAAATTTACACTATTTCAGTTCATAATATTTTCAGAATCAAAAGGTTTTTTTAAATACTGCAATGCTCATCAAAACTTGAGACGTTTGCAGTTCTATTGCAATGGATAGATAGAAATATTCTGTTCAAAAATGACGAAATTATGAAAGTTTTATCATTGTTCAGTATCAGACAGTTGGGGTTTGCGGCTATTTTAATTTGTTTTTATTTCATTTATTTATTTACTTATTGATTGTTTGATTTTTGAAATTGATAAAAATTAATACAATTTATTTTATTTAAAAAATATGTTTAAGTTTAAATATATGCATAATATACTTCTTCAAATTAGTTTTTAAGCATTTTTGCGTTCAATAAACTTTCTGTCAGATAAAAAATTAAAATTAATAGGATCTATCGGTACTGCATAAAACAAACGCTTATTTGGCCTTGATTGATTGTTACTTGTAAAGTATTTATTTTAAATTAACTACCCAAGTAACCAACAAGCCCGTTAATCGCCCTTTACGACTGATATAAAGTTCGGAAACCCTATATTTACCTTATATCGCAAATAGGGCGATTTTCGGGTAATTAGCGGGCTTGGTGGTTACTTGGGTATGCTGATTAGAATTTAGGTTTGCGGACACTTCATGAAATAGGGGTCTGGTAAGTGTGTTTTAGTTGCCCACTGATGTGACGGGGTGTGGCATCTACCAGCTTGTCAACATATCTTGTCGGTGATCGGCTCATAACAGAGCGCTGCCTTGCCTTAGAGAGCCGAAAAAGTGCCTGGGTACATTATGTAGAGTGACCGCTGACCATCCCATTGATTATTACTTTTTTTTAAACATAATTTTGAGTTTTAAGAACTCATCATAATGCTAATTTAATTCGGTTAGAATGAAACCAAAAAATAGTCACATTCGCAAACACAACCGCACATACAAATAAACAACAATGGTTGTACTGAACATGTTGACCCGCAATGTACACAATTAGAATGCTGTTGGTAAGATTGGCAGCCATATGTATTCCACGAGAAATAAACATAATAAACTTATTTTTCAATTTATTAATGTTTCACTCCTTATTAACATAAAAACATAAAATACTTATTACAGCTGGAATGTTTTCCAATAGTTTGAATATAAATATTTTATTTTACAGATCAATTTTTATTTCGACATATTTTCAAGCTGCAAATTTGTGGCATCAATTTATAAGTTTTGAAGGCGTATATATTTAATCGAAGCAAAATGTGTAATTTCACCATAAAACTAGATGCGTTTGAAAAGAAAGACTAGTTATCAATATTTTAAAGTAATTAATATCATACTTTTATTCAATGACTTTTTCTACGATTGTCATCTCTGATTTTGCAGTCTGAATAAAAACATCAGTTTGCTTTTCCCGCATCACCTCACAAAAATATCCTAAACATTTATG